TGATGTCACGATTCCCATATGTTTCCATCGGGTTTCCAAATTTGGGAAACCTTGCTTTTCATCCTGTGTAATACTCTAAATCTGAGTCCCCTTTTTCTCCAACCCCCCTATTTTGTTAACTGTGTTTTACTTCTTCTGTCATTTAATTAAATAAATGACATATTTCATTTCTAAATGACATTATTTGTTTTGTCTGCTTTTCACAAAATCAAGCTCCGTCTTTTAACAAGAGAACTAAGGAACATAAAAGAACATAAAACATATACAGCTCAACGCACTTTTAAACTCATATTGTTTTTCGCACAAATTAAGGTCACATTATTCTTACAATAAAACTTAACATAATCAATCTTCAGTTCAAGACATAACCATTATATGTCATAAATATCTAATTTCAAAGGTTTATATTCTAAAGAATCATTATTGTAAGGTTTCAACGTCGATATTTTAAAGGGAACTTCATTAATAAATGGAATGATGTTATATCTATATGATTCTGCAATAGGTATTTTCAAATTAAATCAATCAAGCTTTCTTTGATACTATTCAGTAGAAATTTCCAAACTTGTGTTTTTTGTGTCTAGGGAAGGCAAAGGACTGCTTTGAAAAGACCTGATTCAAAGACGACAGCATTTGACGAGAAACCTTGAAAAACCGTTTGTGAGCTGTCTTAATTTATCATGCAAGAGAATATTAAAATCCTACCAATTATTATGGGGAAATTATGTTCTTAATTAGTGATTTAAAATCGATTTAATTAGTAATAAATCACCTTTAAGTATCTTTTGATGCCTTGTTATTCAAGTTTGAATTATAACAATGTGACGTTTATTTGTCCAAAAAAACATGTGAGTTTAAAAAGTGTGTAGAGCTGTAGTAGTAAAATATGCATGAACAATAATTAAGAGTTTAGATCAATAATTTAATCAATTATATGCCTTCAAACTTCAATAAAAATGAAATTTACAACGAAGTTATCCGAAGTGTAAATGTTAAGGAAACGAGGATGGTACATTTATATTGTAGGTACTCTCTAAATGCAATTTTCTTCTGCGTTGCTTTGACAAATGTATCCCTTAAAGATGGTTACGGTAATCTACAATTGAGTAAGCGACTGTTGGGAAGCTTGCTGACCACTATAGCAGAGATTAGTCAATTGGATTGTGCTAGAGAATGTCTTGTACGATCTGGATGTCTGTCTTTCAACTACAGACAGGCTGCAATATTTTGTGAGTTGAATTACGAAAACGACACCAGTGCTGATACAAAACATGAAGATGGAGATGGCTGGATCTTTAGTCGTCGAGAACCTTGGTCATTGGTACGTTTTCAAAATTTTTATTTATTTGAGTGTAACTGACATGGTTACTCAGTCGGTAGAGTATTATTGATTATGTATTCAGGTAACTTCTGTATTTTGTATACGACGAATTTTTTAAAAGAAAAGACTACCAAATGAGAGAGAGAGAGAGAGTTACTGATAGAACATTTTTAGTTATTTTTCTAAGACCTATTTTTTAGGAAATAACAGAAGAATGCAAAAGCCTAAAATGTGCACTTAACGAAAAATGTATGAAGGATTCTTACCTTTCCGCAACATGCAAGTTGTCAGGTATGTAAACATCTTTGTTTAATAAAATTTATATTCTTTTTTTTTGTCTTAATATGTAATGACTAATCTTTAAGTGTCATTAAAGACCTTCAGGCCAAATTTAGCAGACGTTTTTTTTTTAGATAATGTGTAAGGGTGTTTTGAAAATAATTTTTGAAAGCTAATTTTACACAAAAGCATAAAAATTACACCTTTATGGACAGATGGTACAAGCAAACCTTTATCTAAAAAATCGAAAATAATAATTGGGAATTTGAGTCTTGTATCGATAAGTAAAATGAAAGAGATCAACCATAGCGCTTTTATTTTTTTCATGGAGAGTTTCTCAATAATGTGATTTGAAATGTTATTTTGATAAATTTGTATGTAACTTAAACCTTTGTGATCAGACTAAAATGAGACAGAAGAAAGACTTCTATATACAATCCAATTATACAGATTTATATACGAAATCATTATTGTACAGGACGCCGATAATGTAATTGTTATTCAATCAAAGCTTATAAATAGTTTTTTCATTGCAAATACGAACAACAGAAGGTTATTAACGTTATTTTTCTGTCACTGAAATAGTTATTTACAATTTTGCAACAAAAAATACCGACATCAAAGTTGCAGCTCATCTTGCTTGAAGTATTTTATTTCTTTTGTAAGAATTCCTTTAAGTTATTGTAAGAACCCAAATGTTAAAAAAATTTACCTTCGATTATAATATTTTACGTGAAATAACGACTTTCCTTAAAGTTTCTGTTTCAGGTGATAGAGAATTATATTTTTTACCTGTTAATGACGTCACTTTTTTATTAACCTTGTGACATGTTAAAACAGCAGAGATTTTCTATATCACTCAGGTACGAAATAATGTAATGTTTAAAAGTCAAAATTATAACGATATAATTCCAAACTATTTGTGCTGTGTGATCACGAGTTCTTAGTTAACTTCATACAAGCAGAGAATGTAAAAGAAAAACGCTTAAAGATCAAATCTAAAAGTCAAGAATCAATATAAATAGGTATCAATGCGTGATGTCTGTGGGACCCTGCATGGCTTTGACAGTTTCAATTTGCATTCTTTCTTTGTATATTTGTAAATGTCTAATGAATTCAGATTGGATTGAAAATAAAAACAGCAATTAAAAAAAACAAACAATTCAACTAATCCCTCCCTAGTGTAAAGGCTGATTTATGAATAATATATACTGGATCCATATATAGTCCCCTTTCTAAGGTGAAATTTCTTCGAAACCAGACGTCAGTTTTAAAAATTTTTGATATTCACAACTATTAAAATGAATTTGAATTACCATACCTGCACTTTTAAATTTAAATTTTAAATTTTAAATCCTTGACATGTAACATTATGATAACATATCCCCCACAGAAAGTTAATATATTCCTAAAGTAAATTAACCTATTAATCAATTTATTCAGTTCAATTCATATCACTTCATCTATTCTTTTCCACATCTCAACTTCTCTATGTATGAGGATGTTGGAACAAATTCAAGATATTTTGACGTAAGTATACAAGGTAATCTTTAAATAATATACATACATTCTTTAAGTTAGTATCTTATGAGTTGGTATTTGACCTTCACTATTATGCGAAAGATGAACTTTCATTACGTTGCTGATCTGTTTCATGCGACATGAGTTTTTAAAACTTGAAGGGACACACAATTTATCTTTCGTATACTCTTATAGTTTAATTGAAAAAAAATTACCCAAAAAATCATCTTCTGTGATTATGCTGAAAGTTAACATTGTACATCCATGGTGTACAAATCCTGTCAAATAACTGTTACTTTCAAGTACCTTAAATAATATTAATTCAAAGATACTAAAATAATTTCAATGATGAAATATGTTGAAATATGATGTATAGAAATACTGTATTTAAATTTTTATGTCAAGCGAGCTGATATAATTATAACTTATTACGGTATTTGGTCTTACAAATGCAGCAATTACAATATTTTTCCTGAAGAATGTCATCCATCAACTCTACAGCTTCCAGAAAACGTGAAGAAGTTCAATTCAAAAAACACTTTAAATTTTGGAAGCAAGCACAAATTATCTTGCATTGATGGCTTTGGTCAGACTGGGGACGGACTTGTGGAATGTCTGCTGAACAGAACCTGGAGTGACGTCAATATCACGTGTCACGGTAAGAATTATGATATTATTTATATTCACTTGATCGACGAATGATCATTCTATGAAAGTGTTACTTTTCAGCCATATAATTTAAAGGATGATACATAGTTGTATTTAATTTTTTTAAAAATCATGTTATCTTTTAATTTTACTCACGTGTCATGGTCGCCTACATGGCAAAGTAGTTAGAACATGTCCTTAATCTAAATTTATTAACGAGACAAACTATTGACAAATACAGTGAAATAAGGATCTTACTAGTATTACTAGTATTTCCCGGGAAATACTGGAAAATAATAACTAGATAAAAATTTATAATTTTAATCATATTGCTTGAGTATACACATGTAATCTTCTGAATGTTTAAGATACCAACCTTATATCTCTGCTTCATGTATACGTTATTCTGATGGGACCAATTTTGTATAGTTGAATTGCATTAAATCTTTACATTAAGCATAGAAAAATTATGTCAAATTTATGATCATTCTTATCAAACAAAAATACAAAAATATGGCTGCAGATTCCAAAAAAGGGGCCTTTGAACATTGGACGATGTTTTTGCGCCAGCACATACCCCAACAATCTAGAGAAAACACTTTAATAATCGCCATAGTTTGTTTCCAAAACTGATTTTATCTGTAAACGAATTATATTCATTATAGCTAATTGTCTCTCCGTATATATTTAGCCAGTTTTTAAATATTGGTCATTTTAGAATTGAGGAAGTTTTTCAAGCTTTTTACCAATGAATGTTTTATGTTTTTGATTTGTTGTAGATTGTGTCAGGGGATGGATATGCAGCAATGAAAGGAAATGCTATCGTCTAATTAATACCCCTCATACCCAAGAAGCGGCAATGGTTAGTATTATTTTCTTATATTTTTTTGACCGAGGGATTCAAATAAAGGGTAAATGTCCACCTTGATATATTCATTTCAATGCATTTGAATTGGTTCATTCGTTATACGGTTATTCATTTCTCTGATATATGAATTATGAATCATTAGTTTCATACTTATTCTATTTCTATAGCGATTTGTTAATTCAAATTTTATATTTCCTAACAAATGAACTTACGTCATCCTTTCCTATTTAAAACATTATCTGAATAAGCATAATTCATAATAATATCTTACAAATGTCTTTTAAACAATCGATACTTATTCATTCTTTTGATTTAACAAAACCAAGGAATCATGCACGTAAATTTTAATTACTGATAAAAGATATGGATTTTCAAAAGTCGTGTCAGCTAGTGGAAGTTAACGATGCAGAGGAAAACGACTGGATAACGAAGAATGTATTAACGAATGTTTGTGAGTTTTTCAAAAAATGTGCATATGTTTATTTAGTTTATATGATGATCTTATAAGAACAATCAAGGGTTAATGAATTGTCTCACTTCTACCAAACTCAAATATCCTTTATGTGATCATTTGTGATATTGGCCTTACATGTGTAAGGTACGAAATGTAAAATAATCACATACTGTGAAATCACTAATTTTCGTCGGGGTTTAATTGTTAATAGTTGTTTTCAAGGTATGGGGAGACCCAAGAATTTTCGACCACAACGAAATATAAAATTTCATATCATATTCTCCAACTGTGAAATCAATTCCCCCAAACCAATATTTTCAACCTTAAACCTCGAAAACTTGACTCACGAAAATATGTGATTTTACAGTAATTTGTATTTTTCTCATATAAGCCTGTGAGGACAGATATGACTGTACCATATGGACAGGAGCAAATGATAGGGAGAACGAGAGTTACTTTGTTTGGGAATATTCCAAATCTCCGGTGGGGGATTTAAGGTGGTCCTACGGAAACCCGAATGGAGGACAGGAAAGGAACTGTGTAGACATGTTTTATGATGGCGAGTTTAACGATAGGCCGTGTTACTACAAGAATGCTTACATGTGTGAATGGGATGGTTTTCTCTGAAACATTTTTCACATACAGTCACACTTTTGGTTGACAAAACAACAGAGGAAAGCTTAATTAGAATAGACCTGAATATTTCCCCAATGTAAAGTGAAAATTTCCTGTTCGAGTCAACTCTTTATTTGTATTTTTCAAATAAAAAAATGATGCATTTTGTATTTTCTTTTTGTTAATAATTTCTTTGTAAATATGAATCAGTTATACAGGAGGAGATGTATATTAAATTATATAATTTAAAAAGCAATATAACAATGATAAAATATTACTATAACGATTGGAAATTGAGCGCAAAATTAATTGAATCAATTCAAACCAGAACCGAGCAAACAGGGACCTCTAAAATCATCACACGAGGGATGAGATGTCATGGAACAGCAGGTATCCTCTGTGAACCAGTCCGACACACCGTGCACTAAATTTCGTGATAATATGTATGCCATTAATGTTCCTTTAATACTTCCTATTTTTGTCCTTAAATGTTAAATGATACTGGTCATCTTTTTAATTCTAAAAAATTTAAACTTTTAAATAATTGTTTAGAATATGTTTACTGATAAAAAAAAAATAATGTTTTTATGGTTGTTTTGTGAACCTAACAATACATGCCAGGTTAAAAAGCATTTTATGTGTTATTAATCAAAACTAAAGCAAAGATTGTGTCTTGAAATTTATGAATCTAGATTTAAAAATCAGCATATTTTTTTTGTGGCCAGTTTCTTTCAGCAGTTGAAATGGATGTTAAAAGTACTGCTTACTAATATGATAATGAAAGCTGAAGAGATCCCTCAATTCATAAAAAAGTAGAATGGGTTCTAAAACTCAGTTAACAGTTTTAGCTTCTTTTTTAAACCATTCGACAGCGGATTCTCTCTCTACCATGGCACCTGATCCCACCTGTGATGTTTAGGAGGTCCATGTCGTGTTTGCTCTGCTCCTATTTTGCATCGTTTGAGGAATTATAAACTTGAATATTTCATTTAATATGTCAACATGCTGTCTCGTTGTGAACTGGATATAAAATCATCAGGTAGTCCACAACATCTGGCCCCAGGATCATGAAACAGACTTAAACTTAAATCAAATTTTTAATCGCCTATAAAATATTTAATAATTATTGAACGATTCTCAAATTTTGCAGATAAAACACTTTTGTAAGGCAATATTAAGAAATATTTTTATTTTTGTCTACTTGACTTAATCAAAGTTCCAGTACACCATGAATATTTTGACTTAAACTTAAGATGTTTCATGCTCCTTGTGCCTGTTTCTTAATGCAATCTAGGTGTTTTATTGACTGCAGACGATAAGGGGCAAATAAAAACTAAATTGATGACATCCAAATGACTTCACCTTTTCAACAATCAACTTTATTTACGTTCGTAATAATATTCCACCATCACCTGCATATGGTGCTTACTTCTCCAATATTATTTGTTACTGAACTCGCAAATAATTGTTAAGGGCAAGTTTGTAATAGATGAGTTGATGTTCATGAAATTTAATTAGTCGGATTAAATTGACATTGCATAAATTTTATGGTTGTTACAATGTTTTTCAACAATGATAATCTAACACTGTCATATTCTAGTCGAAGTGTTTCATACCAAATGCAATGCCTTTACTTTATTACTTAATTTGACATAGGGATTCCTATACACCTGATCAATAGATAGTTTTCGATGGGCCTGAATTCGGCAAGAGTTACTTCCCGGTGGCCGCCATATTGGACGTCTAAATGCTCATTTTCCTACACTATTCAGTCAATTTTAACTTTTTATACTAACTATTCTGTGGTAGGATGCATTGTTTTCTGAAGATTATAAATTCATTTAAGCATCCTTTCATTTCACAATTTTTATTTTTTTGAAGATTTTCCCAAAATTATTTCTGCTACAACCTCTTATATCTAATAACGTAAAAAAGAGTAAAAATTACCAGGTTGGCCTCCAATATGGCTTCCAAAGGGAAAAGGCCCTTGCTATTCAGGTCTAAAACTATTCATGGGTCCAACACGGAACAGATCTGTCAAGAAGGATTGCTTACTTACGACATGCACCTAGTTCCGACTCATTTCTTGGATATATGTATTAACAAGGAAAATATGATTTTAATTTGATTTTAATGATCTTAATTTTTTTAATGTAAGGATGGATAAGGAGATAAGGAACATTATTCAGTATCAAAGTACATAAAACAATACAAAACAGGAGCTGAGCAAACACGGACTCCGAAACATCAGAAGTGGGATCAGATGCCATGGAGGAGTGACCATCCCCTGCCGACCGGTCACACCCGCCGTGTGCTCATTGTCATGATCGTGAAATAACGGAAAAATCCGTCGTCAATTCAGTGTATAAATAATGAACTAACAATTGGTATAAAAAATGTCAGTCAGCATTTGACTCAAAGGTAAACTGTATTTGCTGACAAGGTCATTGTATCGACCATAGAACTTACGAAATGATGACTTTAAACGAGACTGCTGATATTCTTGTTTCATCAACTTGTTTGTCAATAATTTACCTCTTTTTAGATACTGTTTATACGTAGAGCATGTCCTTGCGTATCGAATCAACTTAGATATATACACTCCGTATGCAGGTGATGAAGGTATATTGCTGCATAAGTACTTGGGAAGTTGACGATAGAAAAGTTAAAGTCGTCGCGTTTATCATATAACTTAGTTGTTAGGTTACATGTACCATTATCGTCTTTCTCGAGTAAAATATCTAAATATGAAACACAGTTGTCAGACTCTGTGGTATCTTTTAAAAGAATAAATATAAGTTTTGTTGCTTCCGTTGTAACGACGAAAAGTGCCCTTGTAGAATATTGACCAGGGGTCAATTTTCTACGTACATGTAGGCAATATTTTAAGAGGTTCACTTTTCGTCGTTACACTAGAACTTGAAACCCCATTCCCGATCCGACTTCGCAGTGAGCAATAAATACCGTCGACTGAATTGCTACATGAATATCCCCACGAAAAATTACAGGGTCCAATCTCTGATTGGATTACTGTTTATCATTTTGTTGTACCTACCTTTTTTTGATGGCAGGCAGAAGTTTAAAGCATTTTATATAATTGTGTTTTTGAATCTTATGATGTTTATAAGGGGCTCAACTTGAAATACATGTATGTTGTAATTTGTGAAAGATTACAAGTTTGAATCATTATGAATTCTTATTCTAGTCCTGTTGACTCCCCCTTTTTTATTATGTACATCATGTAACAATGTCATTATGGTGCTGGGGTCAGATTGTGTAATATTTTGCCTAAGATTGTAATACTTTATATTTGAGTCCCCCTTATTTCTCCTCCCCACCCTATTTCGTTAACTGTGTTTTACTTCTTCTGTCTTTTACTTTAATAAATAACATATTTCATTTCTACATGACGTTATTTGTTTTGCCTGCTTTAAACAAAAAAAAAACAAGCTCAGTCTTTTTCCAAGGAGAACTGAGGACTTAAAGGAGAATAAAACATAAAGTAGTAAAATATGCATGAACAATAATGAAGAGTTAAGATCAATAATTTGATCATGCATCTGCCTCCTAACTTCAATATAAAATGAAATTTACAACGAAGTTATCCTAGTTGTAAATGTAAGGGAAGCAGATATGATACATTTATATTGTAGGTTCTTTCTAAATGCGATTTTCTTTTGCGTTGCTTTGACAAATGTATCTCTGAAAGATGGTTACGGTAATATACAATGGGGAAGGCGACTGTTGGGAAGCTTGCTGACCACTATAGCAGAGATTAGTCCGTTGGATTGTGCTGGAGAATGTCTTGTACGATCTGGATGTCTGTCTTTTAACTACAGACGTGCCGATTTATTTTGTGAGTTGAATTACGAAAACGACACCAGTGCTGATACGAAACTTGGGAATGGGGATGGCTGGATCTTTAGTCGTCGAGAAACTTGGCCAATGGTAAGTTTTCAATATTTCACTGGTATTTATTTGAGTGTAACTGAACATGGTAACTCAGTCGGTAGAGTATTATTGGTTATGTAGTTACTTGACTTTAGTATTTTGTATACGATGGATTTTTAAAAAGAAAAGACTAACATATGAGAGAGAGAGAGAGAGAGAGAGACAGAGAGAGAGGGACAGAGTTATTGATAGAACATTTTTTATTTTTTTTTTTACATAATTTTTTTCAGGAAATAACAGAAGAATGCAAAATCCTAAAATGTGCACTTAACGAAAAATGTATGAAGAATCAATACTTTTCAGCAACATGCAAGTTGTCACGTATGTAAACATCTTTGTTTTATATATAGAGGGTACCTATATTGTGTGATCTGATATTAGCTTTATCCAACGAGTTGAATTGGTGTATATATTCGCAAAGCTTGCCTACGAGTTGAATAAAGCCAATATCAAATCACACAATTATAGATGTTCTATTTATCTCATACGACTTTCGTTTTCACAAAACTTCCCCTACGAAACTACACGAATGATTGCTAATTCAAATTGATGACGTATAACTTGATGACGTAGCACCGTTCATGTTGAAATGCATCGAAAGAAAGTAGATCGTGTTCAAAATTTATAATCTTTGCTATGTGCGTCTATGAAAACATTATGTGACACTTTCTGGAACTTTACATCAAACGAACTTCTGACTAAAAGTTGTAAGGACCATGGGATCGTGAAAATTAACCCTTTGTACGATGGCAGTACAAAACGTGTTAGGCTAGGAGATTCATTGTTGATCCATGGTAAGTTACTGTACCTACATTACAAGATAGGCATACGTAGTATAATTTAAGAAAGCATTATTGAAGATGTTAATATAATCTTTTAAGAAGTAACAACAACTTAACTGCTAGGCTAGTTTGACTTTCTCCGAAAACGATTTAAAGGTTGGGGGGGGGGGGGTAAATCTAGCATCTATCTTCAAGTAGCCAATACAGGTTCCTTGATAAAATAAGACACATTTCCTGACATACACGAGTCTTTTTCTTGCTTTTAATGATATCATCGCTCTTTATCATTCGGTTTATTAGGGCAATAATTTTCACAAATAA